TTTTTTTTTTTTTTTTTTTTTTCTTTCGGTGGGGTGGGGAGAGGGGGATGTTGTTTTTTAAAAATAAGCGGGAGGAAATGGGCCGGGGGTGATGCCACTCTCACCTGCGTGCTCTCGCAGGGCCATCGCCATGTCGGTGTCACACAGCTCCAGGCTGAACAAGCTGGTGCGGGAGCAGTACGTGAGGCTGCCCCAGGATGGGTTGGTGCAGGTCACCTACGTCTGGATTGACGGCAGCGGTGAGGGCGTGCGCTGCAAGAGCAGGACCCTCGACAAGGAGCCCAAGAGCATCGAAGGTAATGCTGCTCTGGGTGATGGTTGGTGTGGAGAGCCCCGAGAAGCGCCAGGGAAAACTTCTGGGGTGTTTAAGTCAGTGGGAGTTGGCACTGGCTCTCCCTGGTTGCGTGGCAGTGGTGATACCTGCTGCAGTTGTTCTGTCAAGCAGCAGGGTAAATATCCAGCCTGTGGTTTGCTTAATCTCTGTCATTAGCACTGGGTGGGAAGGGGGGTACGAGATCCTTACCCCTTTCCACCAGGCAAACAGGCATAGAAATGTGTTGGCATCCAGGTGGGGTTTGGCACAGGGAGGTGAAGTGGCCATGGCTGATCCTGCCTGTGCCCCGATGGTGCTGGCGGGGTGAACACAGCGGTGCTTGGAGAGCACCACTGGGCTCTGTGGACGTGCAAGAAAACCCTTGTGGCCGTCATTCCATGGCACTCAGTGCCCTCTGGGCGCTCCATCCTAGGTCTAAACCACCAGCATTTGGCAGGATCTTTACAAGATATCTTTTCTCAATCCCACTCCTGTCTCTGTCTCCCTCCTGCCTCGCAGATGTCCCTGAGTGGAATTTTGATGGCTCCAGCACGGCGCAGGCAGAGGGCTCCAACAGTGACATGTTCCTGGTGCCTGTCCGCATGTTCAGGGACCCTTTTTGCCTGGACCCCAACAAGCTGGTGCTCTGTGAAGTGTTGAAGTACAACAGGAAACCTGCAGGTGAGCACCTCCAGCATGCACCCCCTGGCTCCTGAAGGTCACCCCCTTATTATTTAAGGAGAAGGAGTTGTCTCTCCAAGGGGCTGCTGGCTCTGGACTGCTGGCACAAGGGAGCAACTCAGCAGTGAGCACTTGGCCCGAGGCTCTGAAATTAAAGCACTGGTGGCAACCATTGTTTGCGGGAACCTGTTTTAGTGGCACAGGGTGAGAAGAGCAGCGAGACGTGGAGCTTGCAGCGTTCGCCAACTCAAGCGCGCCAAAGGCGTCGCCCTGTTTTTGAGCCTGAGTGCACCCAGCCCCCGGGCTGCAGGGTTACCACGGGGAGCTGGAGCTGGACGTGGCGGGTGCGGGGGGGTGTTAATATGCCAGGTTTGTAGCTGCTCTCCCCACTGGTGGGGGGCTGCAGAAAAGGAGGGAGAAGGTGCTGGGTTGGTGCAGGCTGGCTCAGGGTGACACCAGAGCACACTGGCACTCAGTTTTATTGCTTCAGGGAGAAGTCTGTAGTCCTGGTGTCTGTCCTGTCCATCTGCTAAAGCCCCAGACAGAGGAGGGGGAGCTGGTTTGCAGGGACACACCACAGGGCTCCCAGAGTGGTTATTTGCCAGTAAAGTGGGGCCACATTCCCACTGGCTGTGTGGGGGGAGGGAGCCGGCATGTGCAGGGTGATGCACACATCTGCTGGGAGAGCAGCGGTTGTGGGCAGCGATGGTGAAAGACAGGGCTGGTTCCTCTTCAGTGTCATGCCTTTCAGCCACGGGGGAAGTGTCTTGGTTGAGATTCCTGCCCAGAAGCTACTCGGCTGCCGGAGCAGTTTGTAATGAGAGTCCCTGGCCCTGGAGCTCCTGGGGCTGTTGCTGGGGCAGAGATCTCAGCCCAAAGCCCCGCGGATGAGGCAGATGCACCCTCCGGCTCTTCCCAGGGTGGGTCTGTGTGGATGGTGAGGGCTGTGTGGGCTTGGGGGGAGAAGTCACACAAGGCAGATGTCACTGCTCCTCTCCTGCCCCACATCCTGGGCTTTGTCACAGCTGCTCTGGGGTCTTTTATTGTAATTTAAAGGTAGAATTTGCTGCCTGTCCCTGTGACAAGTCTCTCAGCCCTTCTGTTTCAGTCCAAATTCTCACTCCCCTTGCCTAGCACATTGTCCCTTGTCAGGATGGTTCTCTGATAATCTGTATCTTCCTGGTAAAGCTCCAGTTGCCCCTAAGCACCCTGCCACCACAAAGAGACAAGGCAGACCCAGCCAGCATGGATGCCAACCAAATCCATAGAGCAGGAGAGAGATAAGGATAATTAAGCTGAGGCTGGTAGAAAGAGAGGGGGTGAAGTAGTGATGGGATATGTTTATTCCCTGTTCCCAGATCTGCCGGACACCGGTAGGATGGGGCTGGGGTATGGTTCCTGGTCTCTCAGTTGTGGATGTTTATGTACCACTGGTGGTGGTTTGGGGAGTAGTTAATTAAACCTCCTTGGCCTGTGGCCTGATGCTGTGGTGATGGGGTACTTCTGCAAGGAGGAAACTGGAGAGCAAAGCATGTCGCAGGAAGGGAGGATCCACTCACCGGTTTCCTTAAGGCTTCTGTGGGAAGCGCTTGGCAATGGCGGAGTCTCGACCTCTGAGCGGGATGGAGAGGAGTGTGGCAGGTGCCTGCCCATGGCACGGGTCTAACCTGGACCTCTCTGCTCCCAGAGACCAACCTGAGACACACGTGCAAGAAAGTCATGGACTTGGTTAAGGACAGCCACCCCTGGTTTGGGATGGAGCAGGAGTACACACTGCTGGGTGTCAACGGCCACCCCTACGGCTGGCCTGACAACGGCTTCCCTGGCCCGCAGGGTAAGTGCTCCCTCCCTCCCTCCCCTAACCCAAATGCTGCCCTCAGCTCCCACCCTGCTGCTTTTGGGGTGCTGCCTGACAGCGGGCCTCCAATCCCCAACCTTGGGTGCAGCTTTCCCACCACCCACCATAGCTGACACCGGACAGGAGCTGGGACGAGGTCAGGAGCTGTTTGCCAAGAGCACTGGGTGCCCCTGGCTCACGTGAGCCGGCCGGCAGTGCTGCTTCGCCAGACTCGGGTTGCACAAACAGCTCAGCTGCACAACTTGTTTGGCAAGGGCTAGAATAAACCCCTCCTTCCCGTGGCTGTTTGGAAAAGAGGCGGCACATTGTGCCCTCCTGCAGCGTGCAGCAAGCCCCAGCGCCTCAGCTGCCTCCTGGGAGATGGCCAGGGGTTACCCAACCTGACTGAATCAGCCTTCTGTGGGGACTGGCTGCTTTCAACATCTCCCCCCAGGCGGGGAGAAGATCTCTGTCTGACCCACTTGAATGAGGAAGAGTTGTATAAAATCAAGTTGAATTTTCTAGCCATGAACAATGTCGGCTGTTGTCAGAACAATCTCAGATGCTTGATGTGCTCAGAGGGTCAGTGAGGTGCCGTGGGGCAGACCAAGCCAAGCTTTCCTTATCTCTTGGCCACCTCCCAGTTGATGCATTACAAGTCCTGTTTAGCTGCCTAGATAAGGCTGAGGTTGCACAGATGAATTGCTCACACTGTTGGTCCTGGAGTAGGGGTTGTTTGCTCAATGCACCATGGAGGGCAACACCATCTAACTCCCACAGATCCTCTGCAGATGATGGCTGGTACCTGGAAGTGGTGGGATTGTGCTGCAGTGCTGTTGTTGCTCCTAAACTTTATTTGGGTGGTGACTCCTTTTCTTTCCAGGCCCCTATTACTGTGGGGTTGGAGCAGATAAGGTGTACGGGCGTGATATCGTGGAGTCCCACTACAAGGCATGCCTCTACGCAGGAGTGAAGATCTGTGGTACCAATGCAGAGGTGATGCCCTCCCAGGTACGTGGGCATGGCCTTGCACAGCCCCTCTTGCCAGTGAGGGATACGGGTTACTGTGAGGCTGGAATTACCCAGCAACTCCCAGCTCCTCTGGGATCCCAAATCCAGTGACTGCCACATCAGTTTTGTCTAAATGGGAGCATGCAGAGAGGTGGGGATAAGTCTCTTGACCCAAGGAACAAGCACCAGGCCCAGAGGGAATGGCCTCAAGCTGCCCAGGGCAGGGTCAGGCTGGCTCTGAGGAAG